AACATTATAGGAGCTGTTAACCAGAATAATCAGTTTAGAGAGAAGCATAAATGACCTGATGGAGCTGAAAAATACAACACAAGAACTTCCCAATGCAACCACAAGTATCAATAGCTGAATAGACCAGGTGGAGGAAAGCATTTCAGAACTTGAGGACTATCTTGCTGAAATAAGACACAAAATTGAAGAAAAAAAGTATGAAAAGAAATGAACAGAACCTGCAAGAACTATGTGATTATGTAAAAACACAGAAACTACACCTGATTGGGGTACATGAAAGAGACAGGGAGAATGGAACTAAGTTGGAAAACATGCTTCAGGATATCATCCAGGAGAATTTCTTCAACCTAGCAAGACAAGAGAACATTCAAATTCAGGAAATACAGAGAGCCCCAGTAAGATACTCCATGAGAAGAACCACTCCAAAACACATGATCATCAGATTCTCCATGGATGAAATGAAAGAAAAAATTTTAATGGCAGCCAGAGAGAAAGGCCAAAGGGAAGCCCATCGGAATAATGGTGGACTTCTCAGCAGAAACCCTACAAGTCAGAAGAGATTGGGGGCCAGTATTCAAAACTCTTAAGAGAAAAATATTTCTAACCCAGAATTTCACATCCAGTAAAACTAAGCTTCATAAGCAAAAAAGAAATAAAATCCTCTTCAGACAAGCAAATGCTGAGGAAATTTGTCACCACCAGGCCTGTCATGAAAGAAGAGTTCCTGAAGGAAGCACTAAACATGGAAAGGAAAAATCATACCAGACACTATAAAACACACTGAAGTATGCAAACCAATGACACTACGAATCAACTACATCAACAAGTCTGCAAAATACCCAGCTAGCATCATGATGACAGGATCAAATTCACACATAGCAATATTAACCTTAAACGTAAATGGGCTACATGCACCCAGTTAAAAGGCACAGAGTAGCAAGCTAGATAGAGTCAAGACACACTGGCCTGCTGTATTCAAGAGACCCATCTCATATGCAAAGACACACATAAGCTCAAAACAGAAAAATCTTCCAAGCAAATGGAAAACAGAAAAAAACAGGGATTGCAATACTAGTTTATGACAAAACTGACTTAAACCAATACAGATTAAAAAAAGATAAAGAAGGGCATTACATAATTGTAAAGGTTTCAATTCAACAAGAAGAGCTAACTATTCTAAATATGTGTGCACCCAATACAGGAGCACCCAGATTCATAAAACACATTCTTAGAGACATACAAAGAGATTTAGTCTCCCACAGAATAATAGTGAGAGAATTTAACACTGCACTGTCAATATTAGACAGAACATTGAGGAAGAAAATTAACAAGGATATTCAGGACTTGAACTCAGCTCTTGATAAGGTGGACCTGATTGATATCTACAGAACTCTCCACTCCAAAATAACAGAATGTACATTCTTCTTGGCACCACCTGGCACTTACTGTAAAATAATCACATCGTTGGAAGCAAAACACTCCTCAGCAAATGCCGAAGAACTAAAATCACTACAGTCTCTTAGACCACAACACAAACAAATTATAACTCAACTTTAAGAAACTCACTTAAAACCACACAATTACATGGAAATTCAATAACCTGCTCCTGAATATCTCCTGAGTAAATAATAAACTTGAGGCAGAAATCAAGAAGTTTTTTGAAATCAATAAGAACAAAGAGGCAATGTACCAGAATCTCTGGGATGCAGCTACAGTAGTGTTAAAAGGGAAATTTATAAAACTAAACGCCCAAATCAAAAAGCTAAAAACATCTCTAATAGATATCCTAACATCACAACAAAAAGAACTAGAGAATCAAGAGCAAACAAACCCTGAAGCTAGCAGAAGACAAAAAATAACCAAGATTAGAGTAGAACAGAAGCAAACATAGACATTAAAAAAAACCCTTCAAAATATTAATGAATCCAGGAGTTGATTTTTGAAAAAACTTAATAGACTGCTAGCTAGACTAACAAAGAAGAAAAAGGAGAAGAATACAATAAATGATAAAATAAAATGATAAGGTGGATATCATCACTGATATCCATAGAAATAAAATGATAAGGTAGATATCATCACTGATCCCACAGAAATACAAACAACCATCAGAGAATACCATAAACACCTCTATGCAAATAAACTAGAAAATCTAGAAGAAATGGATAAATTCCTGGAGACATACACCCTCCCAAGACTGAACCAGGAAGAAGTTGAATCCCTGAATAGGCCAATAACAAGCTCTGAAATTGAGGCAATAATAAATAGCCTACCACCACCACCACCACCACCACCACCAAAAAAACCTAATAAATACTAAGTGAATGCATGGAGTCCTTAAAGGTAGTTTCCCAATTCTACCAGATGTATAAAGAGGAGATGGTAACATTTCTTCTGAAACTATTCCAAAAATTTAAAAGGAGGGACTCCTCCCTAACTCATTTTATGAAGCCAGCATCATCCTCATACCAAAATCTGACAGAGATACTACAACAAAAAGAAAACTTCAGGCCAATATCTCTGATGAACATCGATACAAAAATTCTTAGTAAAATACTGTCAAACCAAATCCAGGAGCACATCAAAAAGCTATCCAACATGATAAAGGTGGCTTCATCTCTGGGATGTAAGTCTGTTTCAACATACAAAAATCAATAAACGTAATTCATCACACAAACAGAACTAAAGACAAAAAACACATGATCGTCTCAATAGATGTAGAAAAGGCCTTTGATAAAATTCAACATCCCTTCATGTTAAAAACTCTCAATAATCTCGGTTTTGATGGAGCATGCCTCAAAATAACAATAGCCATTTTTGAAAAACCCTCAGCCACTATCATACTGAATGAGCAAAAGCTAGAAGCATTCCCCTTGAAAACTAGCACAAGACAAAAATGCCCTCTCTCACCACTCCTATTCAACATAGTATTGGAAGTTCTGGCCAGGGTAATGGGCAAAAGAGAGAAATAAAGAACATACAAATAGGAAGAAAGGAAGTCAAACTGTTTGCAAATGACATGATTTTATATCTAGAAAACCCCATAGTCTCAGCCCAAAAGCTTCTGCTGATAAGCAACCTCAGCAAAGTCTCAGGAAACAAAATCAGTGTGCAAAAATCACAAGCATTCCTATACACCAACAATACACAAGGAGAAAGCCGAATCATGAATGAACCCCCATTCACAACTGCTACAAAGAGAATACCTAGGAATACAGCTAACAAGGGGAAGTGAAGATCTCTTCAAGGAGAACTACAAACCGCTACTCAAGTAAATCAGGGGAGACACAAACAAATATAAAAATATTTCAAGCTCATGGACAGGAAGAATCAATATCGTGAAAATGGCCATACTGCCTAAAGTAATTTATAGATCCAGTGCTACTCCCATTAAATTACTATTAACATTCTCCACAAAATTAGAAAAAGAAACTACCATAAAATTAATATGGATTCAAAAAAGAGCCAGTGTAGTCAAGACAATTCTAAGCTAAAAGAACAAAGCTGAAGGCATCATACTACCCAACTTCAAACTATACTACAAGGCCATGGCAACCAAAATAGCATGGTACTGGTACAGAATCAACACATAGACCAATGGAACAGAATAGAGAACTCACAAATAAGATCACACGTGTATAGCCATCTGATCTTTGGCAAACCTGACAAAAATAAGCAATGGGGAAAGGATTCCCTATTTAATAAATGGTTCCTTAATAGTTTTGTTAGTTTACACATTTGTTAAGCATCTGCTAATTGTAACTCATCAACTAAAATCTGAATGATGTGTTCCCCTCTTCAAGAACCCTACTCAGTGTGGAATTACAATTTTAATAGGATTTTAAAGAATATATATGTCTTAAGGAGGCAAAAATGAAAGGGAATGCCATTTCATCAGAGAGGACTATTTGAGTCAAAGCTTGGAATCCTGCCTTGCCATGCAATTTTGCATGCAATTATGAAATGCCTGTTAAAGATTGTGTGTAAGCTGTTAAATAATGAGCACAGGTATAAAGAAGACCAATTTACCAGACTGTGAAGTTTAGTTTTGAAAGAGAGATAGACTCTTAAATAAAGAATTGCAATGCAATGGGATAATGGTGATAATTACAGTTGAAAATGTTTAGGGATACCAACTAATTTGACCTGGGGGCTTGGTAATTAAAGTCAATGGCCCCGCATAGCTCTACTGGAGATTTGGGTGTAGAAAAGTTGGAAGGTAGGGTATGACTAGATCTTGCAAGACCTTACATGCCAGGCTGAGGAATGTGAACCTGATCTTTTAGGACTAGATAATAAGGAGCCATCAGGCTTTTAAACTGCAGCATGGTAGAATTAAATCTGGGATTTAGAAAGATAATTCTTCATGGCTACAAAATCATGTCCTTTGCAGCAACATGGATATAGTTAGAGGCCATTATCCTAATTGAATTAATAGAGAAACAGAGTAACAAATACCATGTATTTTTCACTTGTAAGTGGGAGCTGAACATTGGATGCACTTGGACATAAAGATGGGAACAATAGACATGGGGGACTACCTGGGAGGAAGAGCTGAGAAACTACCTAATAAGTACTATGCTCACTGCCTGAGTAATGGGATCAATTGCACCCCAAACCTCAACATCACAAAATATTCCCATGTAACAAAACTGCACATGTACCCCTTGAACCTAAAATAAAAGCTGAAATTTCAAAAATAAATTTAAAAAATATACCCTTTTTACAAGATAGCCCAGAATAAAGACCAACCTGAAAGTTAATTCTCTGTTAAACCCTTTCTTTCACAACCAAAACAAAAAAAAAAAAGGAAGACAATTGATGTGGGCCATATAAAATAAATTGGAGATGAAAAGCATTCAGAAAGATAAGTTATTTCAGCATTTGTAGTTGGCACTGTTGGGTATGGCATGTTTCTTTTTAAAAACCATAGTAAGATTTACAGATGGCAACTGATGTTTCCTGAAAGTTTGGGAGTATGTGAGTGATTGATGACACTGTCATTCAATCAGTAATTTTTTATTACATGAAAATACAATGGAAAACTTGAGGATTGATAAAATGTAGTTCTTGTACTAGGAATAAGCAAATAAAAAGGAGTAATACTAAGTGAATGCATGGAGTTCTTAAAGGTAGTTTCCCAAAAGGAAGAGTAGAACTGAAATAGCCCCCAGCACCTGGAGAGAAAATGGGGAAACTGCTAAGTTAAATGCTAATGCCACAACGTAATTACAAAATTCCTCCTAGTGAAGAAGGAAGACACTTTTAGAATTCCGTTTTTTATAGGTGTCTATTGTTGTCAAGACCTGTACTGGATAAATCACTTAACTTTTCTGTGCCTTAGTTTTCTTATTTCTAAAGTGAGGATAAAATTAGTAACCATAATTCATGAGGTTATTTTAAATAAATTAAATGGGCTAATATATGTAAAGCTCATGGAACAATGCTTGGAACTTAAGCATTCAACAAGTGATAGTTCTTGTAATATTATTCATGTTAGAAATAATGTCTACAACAATGCTCTCTAAATTTCCTATCTCATATCCTTAAGAACAGATGCAAATAAAAACCTGTAATATTTGAAAATGGCTAGAAATTGCTTGATTTATGAGAGCAAAATTCTTCCAAAATTCAAACTTACACAATATGATTTTACATTTACATTAGTCCCCTTTTATCGAACATTTCACTTTCTGTGGTTTCAGTTACCCAACATCAACCAAGGTTCAAAAATATTAGATGGAAAATTTCTGAAACAAACAATTCATAAATTTTGAATTGCATGCCGTTCCGAGTAGCATAATGAAATCTTGCACTGTCTCACTTTATCCCATCCAAGGCATGAATCATCCCCTTGTCCAGCAGAACCAGGCTGTGGATGATACCTGCCCGTTAGTCTCATAGTAGCCTTTCAGATGATCAGATGGATGGCAGAGGTATCTCAGTGCTTATGTTCAAGTCACTCTTATTTTACTTCATAATGGCCCAATAAAACAAGAGCAGTAATGCTGAAATATTGTCATAATTGCTCTATTTCATTATTGGTTATTGTTGTTAATCTCTTACTGTGCCTAACTTATAAATTAAATTTTTATCATTGGTATGTATGCATAGGAAGAAAAGTATCACATATATAGGGTCTGGTACTATGTGTGGTCAGGTTTTCAATAGTTATGCAGTGTCTGTATTTAACATTAACACTGATAGCTAGGCAAATCTGCCAATTGTTTAATTATATAATTCCTGGAATGCCATTTCTTATCTCCAAATTTACATAACCACACCTTGATTAAAATAAATTAATAAAATTCCATGTTGTGTACCTAAGGTGTGTTGGTAAAGCTGGAAAAGAAATTTCATGAATAAAAAAAAAATGTTACCTACAGAAAAAGAAATGCAGTGCATACACAACATTACACAAGTTAAAGTATGAGTTTAATGATTAAGATTTGTTCATTACCCTTAAATAGAAAATATATATTACCACCAGAAAAAGAAATTCAGTGCATATACAACTTTACACAAGTTAAAGGATGGTTGACAACTAAGATTTTTTCCTTACCCTTTCATGAGACACTCTTTTGTTCTGTATTCATTACATTATTAGATTTTCTAGTGAATTTCACCAATTGATTTTTTTTTAAGTAGAACTTCATCAAAGAAATTTTACAGAGGTATTTTCACAAATGAAAACTCACAATCACAAGTTTTCTAACTCTTGTGCATAAAAAAGCATTTAGAGGTAACTTTCATGATGATATTATTCTGCAACATCATATTTGAGAATATAGTCATTGTCATTCTTTGCTTGCTGTTTATTTCCTGGTGTTCTCTACAGTGGATTCCATCAATATTAATTGTTAAAATATTAACTTCCTATTTTTGCCATTGTTTTATGTACTACAGAGAAAAGCATTAAAATGCATGCTATGTTATGAGTGTAAGTTAAATGACGAGGACAGTGCCATAAATTGCATGAGAACTGAGCTATTCTTGGTCATAGGAAGGACTGGGAAATTAATACAGTCACATTTTTAGATGCAGAGCTTTTATTAATTAAAATACAATTGTTAATTCATAGTATATATTCTCCTTAGTTAACATAAAATTTAGTACAAAAAACTTTTGGGATATTAAATTGTGTTAAATATATCCTATTTCATACATGTTTGAACATAATTAATATACATTTGCTGTCATAACAAAGAATGCTAAAGTTAAAAAATTCCAGAGACTTTTTTTCCTTCTTGTTAACCTAGCAATGTTGGGCAGTAGATGAAGGAGAGACAGGACTACAGGGTATGATAAAGTTCTGTTGTCTTAGTCTTTGCAAATACTTGGTATCTCTTGCCTTCTCAAAACTTATCCATTGAGAATTATTATAAGTAATGAAATCCAAAATGTTAGGGTAAACACAGTTGAGCTCCTTTTTCTTTTCTCTGCTCTTTTGGTAGAAAATGTAGAACATGATTAATAAGGTTGGGGTTTATTACTTTATAATTTTTTTCACAATGGCATTCCAAACTAAATAATGCTTGTTTGCCTAACTTGTCCAAATTGGATCCAACACCTTTATTCAGCTGGATTTACCCCAGGTGCATATTCCAACAGGGCAGAATTCTCACAAACAGCCTTCCTTCTGATTCTTCTGCCTGTGTTCCTCCTCACAGTGTTTCTCCCATAATTCACATCTACCCTCTACCTAATTGGCTTCTCCAGGCAAAGTAGATAAGCATCTCAGTCAGAAATATATTATGAGCACTTCCCAAACATGTACTTAATCATCACAAAGCAGGGTTCATATCATGCCATATCCCCGCTCAACAACTTTCCTTGGCTTACCACTCATTGGTGATTGCAGGACTAATTCCTTGTGTGGGCATTGGAGAAGAAAAATCTGTTCTTTACATTTCTAGTCTACTTGTCACTCTGCATGGTCCCTTATATGGTCAACACCACAATCAACTTGGATTACGTACTGTTTCCAAAATATGCTACACATTTTTGTACTGCAGTGCCTTTGCTTTATGTTTCCTCATTCTGGAATTTTCTACTTCCCCTATCTTACTCCACAAATCTTCCCACACCCACATTTAAAGACAGCAGGTAATTGAGTAACACCCTTTGTTCAATGACATTTGTTATGACACCGATGAGAAAAAAAATCCATTTCTGGCCCTGGGCCACTGTCTGTGTAGAGTTAGCACATTGTCACCATGTCTGCATGGGTTTTCTCTGGGTACTTTGGTTTCATATCCCAAAGGTGTGCTCTTTAGGAGAATGGGTATGTCTACATGGTCTTAGTCTGAGTATAGGTGTGCATGAAAGCACTCTGTGATGGAGGGTGTCCTATCCAGGGCTAGTCCATGCTTTGTACTCTGAGCCACTGGGATAGGCTCCAGCCACCTGCAGCCCTGAACTGGAATAAGCAGTTTGGAAAATGAACAAATCAATTAATGTAAATTATTGCCAAATAAACATTTGTTAAGTAGATGGTCATCATACAAATACACGATAAATGCTGCAAGATGAAAGTGCTCATCCAGCTGTGAGCCACCCTTGTTTGTTTGTAATTCTTTTTTTAACTGTGTGGTGGGAGGAAGTTAGCTTTGCAAACATTTATTTCTACTTAATCACCACTATGACCATCAACACTCACTGATTCACAAAAACATGGATAACTATCTTGTTTTAGTTAATCTTTCTTAAATGTACGTGTAGCTCACATTTATTTCAGTGTTTAATATTAGAAATGTTTTGGGTCTTTATATAGAAGTTTGGTGATGTTTTGTGACCAGAAATATTCCACAGGATCTTAACTCTTTTTTGTATCAATTAGCCTATGGTAAAACTGGTTTCTTTGTACAAGATTTCACTTAAAGCTGCAGTTTCCAAGAACCTATCAGTGATGTTAGATGAGTACTTACTGTATCACTTAAGATCAAGTTCAGGTTCTACTTTATTCATAATACAAGTCAAAAGTAGTCTTCTGTTGCACTTTATCTTGAACACTACTAAGGAAGGTTTCATTCTACATTTTATGCATAAAATCTGAATATGCATGCACATCCAATACATTTTTTTAAAGTAGACACATGAATGACTTAGCAAACAAAATGTATTACAGGCTATGCATATGGTCAGGGTTCAGGATTCAGAAAATAATGTGTGGTCCTGGATCTTGCTAGAACTTATGTTTTCAACTTTTCTATTAAACACTGTTTATTGAAAATTTTGAATCAAGCTTACATTACTTTTATGACAAACTCGGTTAACAGAAGAAGCATAGGCTTTGCATAAGCAGGCAAACCCATATTTGCATTCTAGCTCTGCCAATCATTAGTTTTTCCACTTAGTGTTTTTGTGAATCTGGTTTCCCTGGGATTGTGGAATGTAATGGTGGTGGTGATAGTTGTTAGGTATTGCTTACACTGCTCATTATTCTAGAAAGAAGGGTTCCTGGGATAGGAAATATGACAGATTTTCTCTGACAGGAGGAGAAGGAACTTCCTCCTCTCTTTTGGGCTGGATATGACTTACTTTAAAAATCTCAGCTAAGAGAGGACTATGAGTGTATTCCCCCAACCATGTGAGGGTACAGCAAAAACAAGCCTTTCATTTGTAACAGTGGCTGCAATGGAAAGGGGAGCAGTTTTTAGAGCAGCCAGGCACAGGGTATTAGCTTTTGAATCTTCCAGGCTAAAGGTGTGCCTCCTCAGCAGGTGTAAGCATTTGTGTCAGTATACTTTCATGTATAATTAGTAGAAAACTGAACAAAAATGGACTTAAACATTAAATAGTTAATTAGTGGCCTGTATAACTCAAAAGACCCCAACTGAATATTTTAATTGTAGCTTAGAACTTCAGCTTTATTTTTTTGCAATATTTTTGGCTCTACATTTCTCCATGTGACAGTCATCTTCATGTAACCTAGTAGCCACAAGAGTTTCTTTCTCCTTTCATATCCAGGAGAATGATCATTCCTTTGCTTATAATAAACTAAGGTCTTAGATGTACTCTGATTGGATTACTTATGAAACAATCTTTTGCCAGTGGAACACCAAGGTCTTGACTGCGTTTGACCTTGGTTAATTGAGCAAGTTGCCCTAGTCAGAGAGAGGTGATAACTTTTATTAACTTACATCTAAGTTTTAGACCAATCAAAGCTCAAGCCAGCAGTGCAAGTGGTATTAACTTTCATTAAAAAAATTAATGTTAAATAATGGAAGGGGATAAACAGGAAAGATATGGAATGAAAACCCAATGTCTATTGCATTAGAAGTTTTTGGAGCTCCAACAGCTCCAAACACAGCTAGAAAAACACTTTTTGACATAATAAGATCTGTCTCTTCTCCACAACTGGAGTGGGAACATCAGTGCTTCCCACTGGAGAAATAGCTTTACCTAGGAAAGTGGTGATTTCATGAAGTTCACCATTTCTATGACAAGTTGTGGAGACCAAGAAGAAGAACCTGAAGGGTTTATTATAGAACACACATTAGATAACACAATGAGAAATTTCAGAAATTACATGGCTCTTTGAGAGGAGTTTATCTCCATCAGATAGAAAGTTAAAGAATTTAATAATAATAATGTATATATAAAAAAGAGGAGTGATTTTATGATATAATCACTGGATAGACAAAAGTGTAAAGGTCTCCTAAAAAGCAAAAGGAAATAATTTGTATATATGTCTACATATTATATTCCTACCTATCTTGCGCGTGTGTGTGTGTGTATACCTACACATATACATATGTATGTGCTTGCATATTGGTCTGTGTATGTGTATATACATATAATCAAGAGAAATTGATTGATACCATAGAGCAGAGAGCTAATCTATAAATAATAAGCATTTCTGAAGAGAAAATAACCAATTAAATAGAAACAAAAGTTCAGAATAGAAAAGAGGTCTATTTCTGCATTAAAATCTTAAACTTGTTGATTATGACTCGACAGTAAGAGACAAACACTAGGATATATCAAGGTGAATTTTTTCAAAGAAGCATCCTTCCTGGAAGAGAGGGGAAATATGTCAACAAAAGGATAAAATTAGGTTAACCTCTAATTTTTTACCATTGTTTATCTCCAGTTGAACAATCTCTACTGAATTTTGTGATAACTGCTAAGGTTTGTGACTGTGGGTTCACAGTCTTAGACCCAGGCAAATTGTATTAATGTACCAAGAAAAATAAAGATGCACATAGGCCAGCAAGCGTACTGCTTCTTTATTCAAAGAAAACCTGACTTTTAGATTACTCCATTTGAACAAGATATCAATGAATATCAATAATAGAGAAATGGCGTTATGAAACAGTTACTATTAAATGCTGCAGCATTTAGTGACTTCTAGATAGTTATTAGAAATATTTAAACACAAAAATAACATGTTTCACCTAATAACTAAGGATATAAAGTGTCTGGTTATAGAAAAACTGAGAAAGTAAAAAAGGTGGTAAGTCCCTCCCATCCCTCCCTGATATTAGAATAATTAATGTATATGTATACCAATTAGAGTGGTAGAGAATGTAATTTTAATAATTGTTTGAAAACACTTTTAAAAGAATTATAGTCTTTCAAATTACAATAGGAAAAGGAAAATAAAATGTAGTCACTTCCATACCAAAATTAAGGAAAAGGAACAAAAAGAAATAGAATTTATATCTGACAATAAATGTAAACAATCTTTAACTCTGAAATACCTGGTTTTTCACACACAAACACAAATATGCACACACTGTATGCACTATATGAGACACACATACACACACTCACACTGTATGAACTATATGAGATACAAACACACTCACACTGT